TGAAAATGACCCGTTTACTAAAGATGGAGGATGTTGCTGTTTGAAGCAGCCAATCAGACGTCAGGATCTCCCGTAAAACCCGCCCAGAATTTGAAGTTAGTTGACTATTCATGATGGGCTTCAGCAGCACATAAATTCTTAAAGCATGAAATTATATATAGTTGAAATGAATACATTTAATTAAAGCATATAATTACCACTTTTTTTAGATTTAAAAAAGTGCCAATTTTGTACAACAGCTGTACAAACTGCAAAATGTTATACTTAATTTTACATTTTAATCAAACCTCATGTCTGAAAACTTTTAATCTCAATAGTACTCTTACAAAATCCATCTACAAAGTTGAACTGTCTGGGTCTTGCAGGATTTTATCAGTTTTTCTTGATAATCTTCCTCTTAACATAAAAACATTGAGCTGGAATATAACTTGGATTTGTTTGGTAAATTGGCGTTTCCCTCAAGTCAGCAGTGAAATAAAAAATAAAAACTCCAACAATCGTTCTCATAAAAATGTATTTATTTAGCAAATGATATTTTAGCTCTAATGAATCCAGACAGGACGGACACAGAATGATTTATCAGTCGACAGAAGTGTGATGGAGGTTTATTCTAACTCAGGACACAGAGCTGCACAGAACTGATGGCTTTGACATTTTTATTCTAATTCTCTGATTCAATTAAGGAAACCTTCATTTGATTCAACTTTTAAAATGCATGTTTGTTTTGGGCCATAAAGTTCAAACTTGGCTTGATTCTATTACACAAATATCTAAATTCAATCAAAGATAATTAGAGAGGGGAGAAGTCAGCAGCTGCTAAAAGGAAGCATAATTTATTTCTGATTAAATATTGAGGAACAATCCGAGTAATCTCCTGTTTTTAAGACATTTTAAGGTCATTTAGAATCAAATTTAAGACCTATGTCTCCACAGAAACGGGCTAATAATTTGCACTTACCCTTGACAGACATCTAGCTAGCTAGCGCCAACTAGCTGCTAACATAAGTTAACTACCGTAGCTACTAGTTTGAGTCACTGAACGACTCGAACTTTTGCCCAATAAAAAAATCTCACGAGAAAAAAACACACTTATACGAAATTAAATAGTTCTGTTAGCAAAATTCAAGAGGTGTGATTAATATATTAAGGGCCAACTTTTTAAAAATGAATTTAAGACATTTTAATACAACAGAGACTTAAGGCCATACAGAAAATAATAAATTATAAGTAATGAGGATAAAGTCAATATTACAAAAATAAAATCAAAATACAATGTGAGCATAAACTCATGAGAATAAAGTCAATATTATAATAAAATTCACTTTATTCTTGTATTGTTATCAACTTACTTTCATTTGACGGATTATACCAAGAAAAATAAAATAAAAAATACAAAAACTAAGAGAATAAAGCCATATTACCAGAATAAAGTCAGAAGTCTGACTTTATTCTCGTAATCTTTATTTTCTTAGCATAAATACTCCATTGTACTTAAAGGCCTTAATTTAGATAAATTTAAGACTTTTTAAGTATGTGTGGACACCTGTTAATATTTATTTTAAGCCTTTTTTGGCCAGCAGCTCTACTCACTCTGACCACAAGGGGGCATTATATCTGTAGTTTCCTGTATGGTTTTGCCCTCATCCTCCATCTGCAAACTTCGTGCAGAAAACGAGGTAAAGCAGCGAGATCAACGCAGAAATAAGAAAAACATCCAAACCTGGAGACGGCTCTATAGTCCTGATGTGAGCTGGAGACATTTTGAAGCAAATCTCTGGATTTTATTTTCCACACAGCCAAAAAAAAAAAGAAAGAAAAACAGCTGGATTTCTGACTACGTTAAATAAGGAAAAGGGACGACCCCTGATCTCTTTCATCTTTCAGATGCAAATGTTGTGATAAAAGGGGAACCGACCATTTAAACAGAAGTGTTTAACAAGAAATGAGGAACAGGAAACGATAGACTGTCAGATAAAAGATGTTTGAGTTGCATGATGGGAAATGTAGTTTAAACACTTCAAACATTATGTCTTCAACCGAGCCATCAAATGTTTTTAAACTTTTCAGATGTCAAATCGATACAGTAAAGCTAAAACGATCAAAATTTTAACAGCTTATAAACATTTAAACCAAATGAAATTAGAAAAGTAAAACTCCTATAATGTTTTATTATGAAAAATGTGTTCTTTTGGTTTATTTTTTTCAGTGTTGGTACACTGAAAAATGGCCTTTACACCTTTTTCCTTCCTCTAAACTTTCCCTTAATGTGACTGGATGGATCATTCAGAGCAACTAGCTTCTTCAGCTAATTGACGATGATGGAATAGTATCAACATTTCTGTATTAAATGTTTTTTTCAATCATCTTTAGTAATATTTTTGTTTTCTGTGAAACAGTTTTAAATATCACTGGATTTAATTGCAACACTTCCCACCAATGGAGCATCTATATCTACCTTCAGGCAGGTTAGGTTGTAAGAATGGTTCATGTTAACTACAATACCCATGATGCAACTCAGTCAGCTGGTTGCATTAGGGAAAGATTGGCTTCTAGTCCACTTTAACTGCTTCCTAATGTCACAAAAATACTTGATTCAACTGCTTTCCACAAAACGCTCCAAGAAACTTGATAATTTTATTTAAACAGCATCAATGAGTGAAGGTCCATCCTGGTAGATCAGCAACTATGAGGTCAGCTGGTTGAAAGAGCATTTTAGTAAATTATCATTTAATTATTCAAACTGGACATTTGCCTTTAAACTCCATGAACCAATAATGTGATATATGCAAGAAAAACAACAAAAAAACTAATTACAGCTATAATAAATACACCTTCCCATCATCAGTCGCACCTGTTCGTGTTTCTTACAGAAAATAAACAAGAATATTCAAATAATTAGCAAATGGAAACTGATTCCTGTTCTTCCTGGGTGTGCTGAGGCTACTGGTGTCCAGTTTAAACCAGTTAGTCGTCTTGGTGGGAATTAGTAGCCTTGAGGAAGCCTTAACACACACATTCACACACACAGAGGAAACATGTGGCGAAAAGAAAATAACAGCAAAAACGTGAATGATTTCTAAGAAGGTGTTAATGAATTTCTTTTAAAGCAATGAGAAGCAAGAAAATGTGATATTTTTGATATGTGGTTTGTGCAAACGCTCAGCTTTTCTTTCTGAAGGAATTTTTCTGAACATGCGAAAACATTCTTCTGTCTATTTTCACCGCAAAAACACTAAATATTACCGACTAATTTGGTTTAATTTCTAGTGCAAACATCTTAATATGAGACAAAACTAACTTACAGGCAACTTCTCAGCAAGATACAGAAGTTTGTTTTGAGTTAATTCCTAAACATTGATGGAAAAGTTTCACTTATAACATGTGAAAAATGTTTTGTTATAAGTGAAATAATCTGCCAGTGGAACTAGAACTCGGTTGCTAGGAGACGGACTGGGCTTGTATGGGGTTGCTAGGTAACAGCAAAGTGCCGTCGAACTGAGTCATATTTTTTATGAATTTTAAGGAATTATTGACTTAAACAAGCTCAAACATTTTGCTGAAAAGTTAATTGTAAATCAGTTTTTCTTAATTCAACTGTACTAAGATATTTGCACTAGAAACTAAACCAAACTTGGTAAGATTTTGTGTTTTCGCCGAGTTAAAGAGCATCATCCCCGACTTCCAAAAGCTTCTCACCATAACGCATAATGATAAATTATGACTCTGGGAAACGTTCAGGAACCTGGTTATGTGTTTTCCTGCCTTGTATCTTTAAAATAATCCCTGCGGTTTGTGGTTCTGTAACGCTAAGAGGCTTTTGGTCGCCAGGCTGATGGAGAAAAGGCATTTTTCACTTCAAAAACACAAAATCCTACCCAGTAGTTTGGTCTAGTTTCCAGCACAAATGTTACTAATTTACAAGAAACTTTTCAGCACAGTATATGAGCTTGTTTTAAGACAATAACTCTTTAATATTCATGAAAACTGCTAGTTGTAAATGAAACAATTGAAATAAACGTTTTTCCATCTTAAATGTCCATTTGCACTGGAAGATCAGTTCCCTTATAACTTGTCCTTTTTCATCATGATTAAGGCATTACTGAGTTAAAAACGCTCCTATATCTCCCTGAAAAGCTTGTCAGTTGGTTTTGCCTCATTTTAAGTGTACTGAGATATTTGTATTAGAAACCAGACCAAAACTACTTGGTGAGATTTTGTGTTTTTGCAGTGCGGGGAACAAGAACAAGGAAACAAGAGGCTCTAACAGCTTTCATCTGCAGTTCCATCACTTGTATTAATTATATGGCTTTTTTAAACATCCGGCCTCATCCGGGGAAATGAGAGGGAACAAAACAAAAACTACAACTATATGAGCTTCAATCAGGCACAAAAATAAAGAGCTACACTCCAGTCTTGATCCGGTCGGTCTTTGGTACCACAGTAGTTTATGTTGCAGGTCCCGGCAGAACCGCTGGATGCTACAGAACTCGTTCCCGTCTGACCGGGAGTTTAAAGGTGCAGCAGTGGATCGGACAGAATCCTGGAAGCAGCGGGATCTTCAGCTGAGCTTCGAGCATTTCTCACCGCAAAAACTAAACCTTACCAAGTATTTTTGTCTAGTTTCTTCTGCAAATGTCTTAGTTCACTTGAATTAAGACAAAACTAACTTACAAGTAACTTTTCAGCAGGAAGTAGGGGCTTGTTTTAGGTCAGTAATATTAATGAAAGAGTTCCAACTGAAATAATCTGATTACAATGGAGTGTTAGGGCCAAACTAAGAAAAAACATAAAAATACAATTTTCAAAATAAATTTGGACAAGAATAAAGTCAAAATAAAACGAGAATAAAGTCCAAATAATACAACTTTATTCCCGTAATTTAATCTTTTCATAGTATCGTCCGATGGAGCTCGTACTTTTACTTCAGTTAATATTAAGGCTTTATTTACTTTATAAAAGCTCCTGTGTCTTGATGAAAAGCTCCTTCTAAGTTAGTTTTGTCTTAATTCAACTGTACCAAGATATCTGCAGCTGAAACTTGACCAAAAATACTTGGTAAGATTTTGTGTTTTTGCAGTTTTAGCAACATTTGTAGAAAAAAAAAAGAAGTCTGGAACAGAGTAAGTTTGCTAAGTTTCATGTCTGTTTTCTGTTCAGAGGAAAGAAACCGATGCCTTTCTTGCTTTTTAAATGTGTTTTTCGGATCATCTTTCAGGAATCTGATATTTCCTGTTCGTGCGCTGATCGTATCTTCCGACGGGAGACGGCAAAACCAGGCCGACCCGTTTCATTTCCTCTGACGCTCGTCTCTTTCTAAGAATCGGAGAGCCGCAGGGACACAAAGACGCTGCGGACCCAATCCTGGCTGGTCCCCACTCATTCTAAACTGGAGTGGGCTCATAAAGCGGTACTGGTGTGTGTGTTAGGGGTGGCGGCCGTGGGAGTCAACAGCGGCTGGCCTCGATGGGCGACAGAGTCAGGATGGTGCGGTCATTGGAGTAGAAGTTCTCTGTGTCGCTCCAAGACCTGGAAACAGCAGTGACTGAAGGTTAGGAGACAGACGCAGTGCGTTAGTGTGTGTGTGTGTGGGAAACAGGAGAGCTGAGCTGTCAGTAGCTATAAAAACCAAAAATGATCCCAATCAATCAGGCTGGAGGAAGCAGAGCGGATGGGTGGATGGAGGAGGGAGGAGTTAGTGATGGGTGGATGAGTTAGTGGTGAGTTCCTGAAGCCTCTCCTCATTAAACCGCCGTTCAGCTTTTACGTTTAGTACGACAAGCTTCAGCACCAACTGACAGTAATTACAACTGTAACTAATCGATTATTATGACCATTAATCAGACACAAAACTGCTGAGTAATGCTGAGTTTTTCTTTCAAGCACTTCCATTTTTAAAATAAAAAACAAATTTCTTATAATGCAACAGCAGAGCCTTCTGTTAGTGTACGCTTGTTCCTTTGCAGCAGGGCTGGGACAGTTAATTGATTAATCAGATAAAAGATTGGAACATTCTGCTGAGTTTTTCATTCAAGCGATTCAATTCCCTTTTTAAAATAAGAAAGTAAACATTTTAGGAATCAATAACTAATGACGTATCAACTTTGAGGGGTGGAAAATGTTGGATCAACTTTAGCCTCAGTGTAAATGTGGGCTGCAGAGCACACGGTTTTCATTAGTAACACCTGGGTTAATGTCTGATCCGCCTCTGAGCTGAGACGAGACTTGAGTCACTCAGCACGAGTAATAAAAAAAGAGAAGAAAGTCATGAGTAACGGGCACCAGGTCACTGCCTCCTGCACAACCAACAAGAACGCAACAAGGTTTTTCTGAAAGGTAATTCAACACCCAACTCTCGTCTTTTCCAGCAGCCATTATACAGGGGTAAAACCAGCTGACCAAACCTGCTGGAGCTCTGCTGTGATTGCTAGGTAACGGGGGCGGGGCTTCACTGGGGTTGCTAGGTAACGGGGGCGGGGCTTCACTAGGGTTGCTATGTAACGGGGGCGGGGCTTCACTAGGGTTGCTAGGTAATTAATGACGGTTAAAAACTGGGAGGATTTTGAAACGGTTCATTTTCCAGACACCAAAACACATGAACTTATTGCTGGGTGTTTCTTTTAAATGCTTGGGTTGATTTTAGAAGCAGCTGAAACTCAAATAGAAGCATAAAGACGAAGAAAATGTGAATTTTGCATAATAGTTCCCCTTTAAGAGTTGGTGAGGGGAAGAACGAGGCCACCCAGGGTCTGAGTCGGCCTGTGACTCAGATGGTGAATTAACCGGAGGCGCTCACATGCACTACATCACTATCTCAGCTCGTCTAACAGAGGGAGGAGGAAAACAAAAAAACAAGCATCTGAGCTCTGAAAGCATCTCTAAGCCAAGACGACCCTCAAAAAGCTTCAGGGAACACGAACCGAGAACAGAACAGGCCGATTTCTGACAAACTCACTGGGGACATTAGCAGCACATGAATAATTAATCTGAGATTAATGCAGACTTTAGACACAAAAGGACAAAAACACACACAGAAGAAGGAGAGCGACAGTGACATAAGCAGATCCAGGTAACATTGTATACAAAATACCAGCCCAATGCAACAAAACGGTTGGAGTGTTCTTGTTTTGTACTTCCTGTCGGATGGGGGCGGTTTTTCCAACTCCGCTCGGCTGGAACACCAGGAATTATAAAACAAGCACACCCTTCATGTTGGCCTCTTCTCAGAAGCAGGTATAAGGCTTCAGCATCCAATGACAAAATGGTCAGCAGATACAGGAAGTAGCAAAAAAAAGAAAAACGCTCCAGAAGTAGAACTACATTTCCCAGAAGCCACATTCCTTCACTCTCCGATTTTTACCGAATTTTGGTTCTTAAAACAAGTGAGCCGAGCCATAACTGAGATGATGCACCACTAATAATTTTTTTTTTACATATTTTATTATATACAAGTAGTGGTGGTTTGTTCAGTTGTGAGACAAATAATACTTTTCTGCTATGGTCGTATTATTAAGGCATTAAGGCCAAATTCACTCTACATTACCTTTTAAACATTAATAATCCTTTTTCTCAATCTGAAAAGATAACTGTAGATGAAAGAAGGTATTTGGTTTGCATATTTTGATACTCCAACTACTTCTCCTCCATCTGCAGAGTCAGGACAGACAAAGCAATGCAGAGGGATAAAACAACTGCAGATTCTATTTATTGACTTCATTGTTTCCATTGTAGTAAAAAGCCGACCGCTGCAATATACATTACGTCCCCCGGTGTTTTCTTAAATCCTGTGGGAGGGGACAAATTGGTTGTGATTTGTCACTTGGAGGAAACCAATTGGTTGCTTCGTGCCAAGGTCAGAAAACAAATTAATCAACCCCACAGGAGGCAATTCATCTAAATTGAATCATCATTTAATGGAAAAATCTCAGCCTGAAGGTCTGCATTTGTTTCAGAGAACTGACCCTGACAGCAACACCGCACAGCCGCAAGTAGGGAAACGTGTTCACCTAAAAATACTGTCAATATGCATCTGCTGCAACACACAGAGAGAGACGCACCAATCAGAAAATGGAGGCCAATTTCAGGTCTGCAGGTTTGGTAGAGCTTTGGTTTTGATTCGTTCTTTAAAAAACTGCATTCATGAAACTGTTTTTACAAGAGTTATATCAGAGCAAAAGGGATGTAAAACTAAAGTCACTATAACAAGTTTTTACTGGTAATTTAAACAAAGACAATAATGTATTCCCATTCCAAACCGTCTTTAGCGAAATGAAGGTTGTTTAAACACCTGATAGTCGGTAGATTCGCTTTGGTTGGGGACCAAAGTTGTATAAAACATTTATTTTATTTTTGGCTGCAGTGGTTCTCTTTCACACTCCAGAGTCAAACGATAAAACTCTTTGAGAAACCTGTTCCCCTCCTCGCCTGTGGGGGCGCTGCACCAAGTGAAGAAGACACTTGGCGCCACTTCCTTCTTCATGACATATAAACAAAGACGGAGTAGCGACAGAAATTAGTGATTGCAGGATTTCCTGTTTGTCTTTGGTAAAAGACAACGAACCATTTCTCCTGCTAGCGCGAGCTTAGCACGTTTGTTTACCCAGAATGCTCTGGGTCCACTTCCTGATTTGGAGCGGTCTCTGGTCTGCTTGGTGTTCACATATGAATTTCCATTAACTATAAAATTGACCAGATTAAAAATACGAAAATAAATTTACTTCATAGAAATGTGCCAATTTTGAAAAGTTTTTACACTTTTTTTCCAGCTGTAAAAATTTTGTGTTTACCACAAAACTGCGATGGAAACACTTTTTCGCATCATGCTAATTTGTCTACAGCAGCAGAGAGATTGTTTATGGTCACTGAGCTCTTGGGACAATGTGGAAAAGTGTTTGCATCCGTCGTTATTTTAAGTTTTTCTCTCTCTCAGCCATAAGGAAGAGAGTATCAATAAAAATCACAAAAACTATAATCAATAATTAAGCTACAAACTGATCAAATTGGTCAAAGTAAAAATTCTTGGGCATTCTTTAATTTCCACTGCAGATTTTCCCCTTACAAATACACACATTAATTTAAAAAAAAAATAAAGGAAATTTGGCAACAGGAGACAGGAATGTAACATCTTCATTACTGATCTAATCAATATCTGGAGTCCTGAGACGTTTTGAGAAGTATCGACAGCTCAGCAGAACGGGCTGGTCACGTCGTCTGATCAATAATCACACTGATCAATGCTGGGATTCAGGTGGACACAATTATAGAAAGTGCAAAGAGCTGCAAACTGAGAGCCCAGCCTCCAAAAAGTGAAGTAAAACCTCAACATTTCATCAAACCTCCTGGATCTGCAGCTGAAAGCGTGTCACACTACGTCACCATCACTCCTACATATCATCTGGGGACCCACAATGCATTGCTGCCCAGTGAAATTAAAACATTAATAAAGAAAGAGTCTACTTCCCACCACTTTTTGTAGCTAAATATTTAATGTGTATAGTGTCAGTAAGCATTTAATATTTGGATACTTTATGATTATACCAGCCAGCCATTATCACTGCGATGAGGTTTCGGCTACAGATACAGCGTTGGCCGAAGCCGACCGGATATTTATGAAGTAGAGATGTTGTCTGTTAAAGTGCATAACAAACTAAAGGATTTTCCCTAAAAAACCCGCTCCCCGCCTGGACATCAAACGCTCATTTAAGGAAGAATCACAGAAGAACAGAGACAATCAAGACAGACACCACAACAGATCATAGCACATGGCAGAGACACACAAATGGCAAATACATTAGCAAAGGCGTCGGTTTTACAGTCAGGACAGCCGAGCAGCTGCGTTTCCGTTGATCATGGAACCGCGCAAACTGGAATTACGAAAAGAAATCTGCTTAATGAGAGATGCCAATTTCAAAAAACTCAATAAAACTTTTTTAGTTTTACTGTTTTTCAGCTGCATCGAAATTTCCGTTTTTCACAAAACTGAAATGGAAATATTTTTTGTGTCATGCTGGTTTGTCTACTGCAGAATATCGATTATCGGTACTAACTGGCCTCCTTAGACGATGCGCATAAGTGTTTACATTCGTCGCCGCAAAGATTTTTAAAGATTTAAGTGAACAAACTTATTCATGTGTGACTTTAATTACATTTTTACTTCGGAGTAAGAAATGCTCCTAATTGCAAAATGGTATTTTTTAGAAATAAGTGGAATTTTTATTGGAAACACATTACATGCATTTTGTGCAAGGCACGAGACTCAATAGCTGCGTTTCTGTTACAGATGAGAGAAAATGTCGAAAAAATACTGTTTTGCAACTGCAATGTTTCCGTTGAACAACAAATTAAATTAAAATCACATGTGAATAAGTTTGTTCACATGGCAAATCATTAAAAAACATCATCCTACTGCTACTTCCCGTCACTTCCTGGTCCTTTCCACCAGTAAGTGAGACCCGGTTCACATCGTGACTTGTTCGCTTGTCACCATAAAAAAAAACTGCTAGATGATAAATTGTCCCAGAAGTTATCGAGATAAACGATAATATTGTTGTTTAATATAATGGCATAAGGACACATTCTCAAAGATCAACAAACTTTAAAATTAAATTGACTGGAACCGGAAGAGATTTTAAATATCAAAATAAATAATAAAACAGAAAAATAAATGAAAAAAGGAATCATGAATTTTCTCCAAGCAAAACTGTCCTTCAAAAAAAGGGCTAGTTAAGACCAGACTGAAAACTTTCATCAGTTTTTGGTAGAAAGAGAAAAGAAGAACGATAAATAATGCTAATGGAAATCGTTGAGTTAGTTTTAATTTATCATGCAATTAAATGTTTTATTTTTTATTGCGACAAGCTTAAAAATGTTTCCATTGCAGTTTTGTGAAATACACCAATATTGATACAGCTGAAAAAAAGGTTTTTTTTCTAAATTGGCTTGTTTGCATCAAGTACATTTATTTTCATAATTCCAAGTCCTACGGTCGGTGGAAACGCAGCTGCTGACGTGTGAACCGCGATAAATAAAAATATCGTACCAAATTCTCCCTGGTCGACAGAAAACCATCGTACTCAGAAGCGTTAGCCGCTACATTTTTGGTTTCATTGCCTTTCCGACTCCAAACTCCGCTGGATGTGTGTTTAATCATGCCGTAACAGAAGAAGTCTGTAAGTGTTTGATCCACTCATCTTCAGCCTCAGACTCTTTCACCCTAGAACCACCGACACTCTGCTTCCGCTCAGCTCAGCCGCATCACGGGCTAAAACACTCGGAGCTGCTGCCCAAATCAAAAGACGGTTCATCGGGATTCATAATCATCGTTTCTCGTCGACGCTGCAGTCCTCCCCACCTGTTGCTGCGGCTGGATGTGTGGCAATTGTTGACGCTGGCCTTGCATTGTCCCGTCATTTGTTCCAGGAGGCGGGCCAGGCGGGAACAGCCGCTTTGCCCATGTTGGTAGCAGCACAGGGACTCCACACAGCTGAGGGCCTGCGCCTGGGGGGCGGATAGAGACTGGGGGAGAGCAGAGACGGTGAGAGCAGGAAGAGCCAGAACAGGTGTGTGAAAAACAGGAAGCATGGGTTAGTGAACCATCATGAGCAGAGGGAAGAGAACAAGACAGCAGGACAGATTGGTGGATAAAAACGGGAAAAAAAAACCAGAAGTTAGATCAAATAGATTTGTTTGTGTTATTGTTCAATAAGGGCAACGGGAAGATGATGCTGCATGCTGCCTGGGCGATGATGAATTACAGGGAATACACACAACATGCAACAACAAAACGGGACCAACAGGACCGTACAGACTGCTACACCGGAAAACAAGAGTCCTAAATAAAATCCTGAAAGTATCAGGAAAGAAAATACAAAAATAAAATCATGAGGAAAAGTCGCATGAGAATAAAATAGAAAGGATACGAGGATAAAGTCGTAGTATTTAATATAATATTGGAGGAGATATTTTTACTGCTTCTTATCCAGTACAGGAGCATCTCAATGAAGCTCATTGTCTGCATAAAAGTACATTTATTTTATTTAATAAAGGGAAACCCATATTGATTTATTCCACAGGGTGATGCTTTTCAACTTTGATTATTGATTCCAGATCATGAAAAACTCAAAATTAATTCCTCAGTAATTGTGAATATTACAATAAAATGATTTCCATCAGACATTACATAGATATTGACTTAATAATGGTCACCTTTGCAAGTAGGTTAAGCCACAAATTTTGTGGGAAAGTTTGATGAAAGAAAAAACTCAAGTTAAAAAAATGTTGCGCAAGCAGCAGCCTCAAACAAAGTACCAATACCTGGTTCAATGACAATGGTTCCCTTACTGGCCTGAACCCAGTAAAGAATCTGTGGGAATTATTGTCGAGAGGAAGATGAGAAACACCAGAGCCAACAGTGCAGACGAGCTGACTGGCAGTTTTAGATCAACCTGGGCGTTCTCAACACGTCAGCAGGAAACAAAGGCTGATTACCTCCAAGGAAAGCTGCAGAGATGCAGCAATATAAGAGACCTGAGGTATTCACTGCATACAACACATAATTCATGGACGGTTTTCCAAAGGCCTTCGTTTCTGTTTTTAAAAAATCCAGTTTTTCACCTTGCAGAAGTTTAAAAGCTAAAATATAATATTTATGTTTTGAAATCTCTCTTACACCTGAATGGTCCAAGAAATTTACAGAAAAATGTCTAAAAAATGTCACTAAGTTTTTCACACACACACATACATATATATATATATATATATATATAATCTAGGAGTCGAAGTTTATGCAAGTTTCACTGACTCAAATTTAAGACCATTATGAATAATAATTAAGACAAATAAAAAAAAGCAGGGAACCAAAACTGTGAAACTTCTGTGGCTCTTAGCAGCAGCTTTGTGATTCTCATATGGCATATTGCTCTCTAGCTAACTAGCTAGTAAATTAGCTAGCTGCCTCCAAGAGCTAAATAGCTTGATGACTTCAGCTTGCTAGTTAACTCTCTAGTTAGATGGCTAGAGCGTTAACTAGGTAACTAGTTAACTCTGTAGTTAGCTAAAAAGTTAATTAGACTTAACTCTAGCTAGTGAGTTAGCTAGAGAGCCATATGCTAGCTGTTAAAGCATCAGTTTGTTACTGGTCACCTTAACCACCTGGAGTCAGTAGAGGTTGCAGCGAGTGAAGATGTTTGTACACGACTCAAACTTTTACCCAACAGAAAAATCCTGTGAGACAAAAAAAAAAAAAAACCCAAATAATCCTGTCACAACTAAATTTAAGACCTGTAAGTAATGAATTTAATGTGAACTTACAATTTCTTTAATGGATTTAAGACATTTTAAGGCCTTAACTCTAACTAAATTGAGACTTTTAAAGGATGCGTGTAGGCCCTGGGAATTGTACTTCTGAAATTAATAAACTTTTCATTGATAAATGCACTTTTAAGCAGTGGATTGTAGTGGAGGGACTCTAAAACTAAAAGTTTAAGTTAGCATTTATATTTGTGATGGATTGCTCCACATGGTTTAAAATTAATTTACGATGAAGCAAGGCCTTCTGATCTGATTAACAAGCAACAGCCCTTAGCCTTTACTGGACGCGACTCCATGTTTTGTATGAAAGAGACTTTGTAGCTAATCAGATTTATCTGAGAGCTAGTGATGCATGGGTAAACAAAGCTGGCCAGAAACATCTGGGATGGGATCGTTCCTCTGATCTGAGTCAGCACAGCGGAGACGGCGGGTGATGAAGACGAGGCAAAGCCAGGATTAGAGAAACGGGAAAAGGAGCAGAGTCAGGTTACACTCTGGTTGCTCACAACAGAATGAAACTGGGGAGCGTTGGGATTTAGTAATTCATTGTTCACATTAATTACAGGAGGACAAAGAGGCATAAAAATTGTCTCAATTATCCAAGTCCAACTGAAAGTAAATTCATAAATAATAGGACATTTGAGGGAGTTTTATTTCATGTCTATGAAGCTGTATTTGCTAAGGGTGCAAGCCACCGTCTGCACTCTGATGTTTTGCTGCAGCAGAAATATGAGACGCTGGCGTCAAGCCAAACGTTTGCTTTTTGGCCGCAGACAGCAAAACACAAACAAATCAAACTCCACATAGTTTATTCTCAAACTAAAGTGCTTTTAGGAGGAAGTGCAAGTAGCACATTCCTCTGGTTAGGAGTCACTCACTCAGAGGACATAAAGCAAAACCAATCCATACATGTTAAGCACTCGCGTTTTTTTGTTTTAAATGTTCCGCGTTTCTGTCAGTAGAAATCAGGCGACTGTTAGATTGTCCTCACAGTGAAACCAAAGCAATGGGATTGAAAGAGAAAACGGACTCTGAGGAGTGAAGCACGAGTATTTTGAGGGAAACATGAAACTGCTGCTGCACGTTACAGAGCAGGCTGTTGCTAGGCAACCAAAGAGTGGGCGAGTTGCTAGGCAACCAAAGAGTGGGCGAGTTGCTAGGCAACCAAAGAGTGGGCGAGTTGCTAGGCAACCAAAGAGTGGGCGAGTTAGTCGACTCCACCAACTACATTTAAAAGTCAGTTTCATATTTTAACTTATTAAAAGTCAATTCTACAGTTTGATTATGTCTGTAAAGTTTATCTGACTATTGGAAGGAGGGTCAGAGTCTGAGGCAGTTACCTGTGTGCTGTACAGTCAGATGTTGGGATGGTTTTCTTTCAATTGTTTTGGCTTACAATTGCTGATTTTTTTTTTTTTTCAGAAGGTTGTGGTAAATTTTGTTCAAGCTTTATATTTACCATAAAATGGTCACATAACTTTTCCTTTCCTTCTCTTTTCCTCATCTTTTCCCTCCTTACCTGAGCTGACCCTGCATCACCGTCCTGCTGCTGGTCGCGGGTCTAATGTCTCCTCCCTGACCTTCTGCTCTTTCTATTGCAACAATAAAAACTTACTTTCAATATATGGAAAGCAACAGTGAGCACAACTTCTGCACAGAAATTACAGATGGTTCTGGAGAGTAACTAGTTTCAGTTCAGCTAAGATTATCTCAACTTACGCCTTTTGTTTGGAAGAATACGGCGAAGCTTTCTGTCGTTTGGCTCTGGATGGTCTGAGGTTCATCTTTCAAGAGACGCCATGAAACACAAAATTAAATTATAAGGGCGCTAAGCGGATTGGTCAGAAAACGTTACGGTCAGATTTATGGAAACTGGTGAAAATTGCAAGTCTGTGCAAAATTTGCCAGAAATTTGTTACAATCACAACTTCCTCTAAGTAGGGGCGGCCATTTATTGTATCGTTTATTATTTATCGTGATGCATTTCTTCGTAATAAGAATTCCGATTTATTCTTGTCACGATAAATTCCAATGAATGATGTTTAAAATCCCCCAAAACTTTCAGGATTGTTAGTTTTACCACTGTTTAATGAAAGTAACAATAAATTTGACAATATCACTAAATGTAGTGAAATAAATCACACTTCTTCTTTTTGTGTCCTAAAGAAGTGCGTCACATATGGCGTGTTTTTTAAAGTATTCATGTTTGTTGGGCTGTGATTGGTGAGTCATGTGTCACAGCCATACATTCACCAAAAAAAGAAATAAAGATGTTTTGTATAATCACGTTAATCGATATTACAGAGGCACCATAAAATATAGTGATAAAACCTTCAGTGTAGGGATAATAGAAATATCGTGATTTAAGATTATTTATCGTAATAAATCCCACCCATGTTCACCCCAACCTACGATAAACTACAAAAAATAAAAAATAAAAAAAACGACTTCAAAAATGAAAAAATAAAGGATTTCATGAGACACCAACAAATTAGAAGCAAACAGATGATCCAGTGAGTTTCACATGGCTGAATGAAAAGAACCAAGACAATGAAGCCGGCATGCCAACAGCATTCTCTCCTTGTCTGAAACCAAACTGATCAATAACAGCGATTGGTGATCTGAGACCAGGTTAGGGAAGCTCAGGTTCTACATGGAGGGTCTCTGTAGCTGCGTTTCCATGGAACTGGGCAATTTCACATTTTGAAAGTTAATTTGTTTAAAGAAATATGCTAAGAAGTTTTGCTTAAGGGATGATTTTTTTTGGCTGTATTAAAATTGTTTTATTTCACAAAACTGTAGTAGAAACACTTTGTCACATCACATCAACAACTGGATGTTACTACTGGTGGAAACGACAAAGGAGATGACAGGAAGTGACATTATGACGTGGCATGTTTTTTGATAACTTATTGCGTGAACAAACTTATTCACATGTGATTTTAATTGAGTTTCTTATTTAATAGAAACACCAAAATTGTGAAAAACATTTTTTTTAGACATTAGCAGAATATTGACAAAGTTTTGTGCACATCTGTAATGGAAACGCAGCTACAGTCAATCAGGGAGGGATGAGTAAGTAGGACAGGAAACTGGACCATGAGACAAACCGTATTTCTACACAACAATTAAAATAAAACACCAACATGGGGGAATGAGCAGCGGTGCAGGTTTGAGGCAAACAGTGGGGCTGTGCAGGTCGCTGTGGCTGTGAGGAGGCGGACAGGGTTGGTTGGACGTCAGACCAGACAAGGCCAGTGACGGTAAAATGGGGGCAATGGGAGAATGCAGCACAGATCAGGGTACTACCTAGGGGAGCATGAGTCTGGGCCGGGGCGGCAGGGGGAGGATAAGCAACTAGCAGGTGCCAATTGTCCTCCCCTGGGCTCCGCTGGGCTTTAACAGGGTCATATTCTGGGCCGACTGAACCCTCACCCTGCTCCATCTGAAGGACACAAGATGCTCACAGTCAGCCCTGCTGGCTTACCGTCAGTCAGACTGCAGGCAGGCCAGCGACGTAAGCAAACTGCAAAAACACATCCATGTTCGTCATTTAGTCCTTTACAATCTGTCCTTACTGAAACACTTTCACCAAGCAGAGGACAGCAGGCGTACTTTGAGTCTGCGTTAAAACGTCTTGGACCAGCTGATGCCTTAAATACGACAGAGTGTTTGGGCCAGGAAGAAACAGTTACTACGAGAATAAAGTTGTGATATCATGAAACCTCAAGACACAAAAACGCTGTCAAAATGAGGACTGTTGAGTGAGTTATGCTTTGGTTTTACAGATAAGTAAATGGTTCATATGTTCAGCATCAGATTATCAATGTGTAGCCGACCACAGATTGATAATCTGACGCTGATGTGTTAACTAAACCCTTTTATTCTCATAATACTGATGACTACGACGACTTTATTCTCGTAATTCCACTTTTTAATGTTTTCCTGGTGAGCCTGGCTCTAACACTCGATCGTAACCTTGAAACTGATAGTTGTCGTTTTGGGATTCAATAAAAGACTAAATAACAGAACAGTGGATACAAATTCAGCAACTCATTAAGCAACTAGCAAATTACTGGATAAGCTGTTAATCAGTGAGTCAGACTGGGCTGCGGTTTGGGAGTTTAACTGATTAGGGGAAGAAGTTTCGGTCGTGAAGATCTGACCTCTGCCAACACAGCAGCTGGATGCGAAGCAACCCGTTACTCCACAAAGGAAGGCCGTTTGTTCACTTACTGGTTTCCTACTTGATCCTGACAGATCAATAGCTACCGCTGCTCTAGAAAACGGCTTAAAGATTTTGTCAAATAACTGAAGGACTTTTACTTCCCACAACAGAAAGAACGAAAAACAAAACAGAAAACTGAGCAGACTGGCTGTGGGTTGAAAGAAGCTAAAAAACTAAGCAACCAAGGAGCTTAAGGCAATTAAAAGATTTCTCATGGGAAAAGGGATAAAGGAAAATCTATTAGTATCTGAACGAATTAACCTGAACAGAGCCGTCTGGGTCATGCTGTCACTTATCTTAAAGTAGCAAAAAAACAACTAATTATGATGTCTGCAGACAAAATAGCCCTTCAAAATATATCAGAAGTAAAATGATCAGGCTCATTTTAATTTATCATTCAATTAATTAATTAATTGGTTGTTGTGAAGCTGCTAAGTTGGCAGCAATGCAGACAAAACAAAAGGAGAATCTGCTGATGTTCAGACTTTAGCAGAGATAAATATCGGTTTCATATCCGTCGCTGATCACCTAAGATGAACGGTAAGCCGGCCGATTGATCGGTGCACCCGTAGAGATAACGAGACTGAATCATCGAGCAGAGGAATAAGTCTGGAAATATTTTCCATTAAAATTTAAAGACATGGTTTGAACTTGTCTGAAATATCCAAATTAAACAAACCAACATCTCCAACTACAAAAACCCCCAAAATATTTTCTTCAACAAAACCTAATGCTACTCTGAGCATTTCTTTTAGAGATTGCAACACGTTGCAAAAAAGTCTGCCATTGTTGAGGAGATTCCCACAATGACAGCAATGTGTCATGCTCCTAACAGTGTCATGCTGCTCTTTAACCCAAACAAAGTTGCTCATGCAGCTTTAGTGAGCAATCAGTCCAGAGGTGCGGATCTGTCCAAACCATGCAGGAGGACGAGTCCGAGAAGAAGAGGCCGTCTCAAAACGTGGAATCAGTCCGACGGGTAAAAAACAAGGCTGGGATGCACCAAGACATAAAAACTACCAGGTGTCCTGCTTATAAAACTACGGCATGCCAGGTGAGCGGTCAGACCTGACCACATCCAAACGCACAGCAGCAGAGTTATAGAGACTGCAGGACCTCACAGCACGAGGGCCACGGTTGGGCAGGAGCAGGAGAAAAACAGGAATCAGCGTACAGAGACCAGCTGCGTTTCCACTGACCATGTAGCTGCGCAAACTGTAATTATGAAAATAAATTTGCTTCATGGAAACACGGGAATTTAGAAAAAACTTTGAGAAAGTTTTGGTCCTCAGAAGGGGAGATTTTTTAAATATATCTGTATCAAAATTGGTTTATTTCACACTTTTTTCACATCTCATGAGTCACATGATCAACAGCCAGATGTTACTACTGCCAGAAAAGACAAAGAGGAGGGTCACAGTGCCGCATCCTTTTCACGTGATTTTAATTTAGTTTCTTATTTAATAGATACACTGCAATTGTGAACCGTTTTTTCAATACTAGCGGAATACCAATGAAGTTTTGTGCACATTTGAATGGAAACATAGTTAATAATTATGTTTCCATTGGAGTAAAATCAATAAACCTGTTTAAAAAAAACACGGTAACTTCGAAAAAACTTCTATAAAAACGTTTTGCGTTAGAATAAGGTGATTTACCGGCTTTATCAATATTTGTGTATTTTTCACATCATGTGTCGTGATCAACAGCCGGATGTTACTACTGGTGGAAAAGACAAAGAAGATGACAGGAAGTGGTTGGGGGATGATGGTGCGGAATGATCTTTTAATGACTTTTCGCATGAACAAACTCATTCACGTGTGATTTTAATTTAGTTTTTTATTTTATGGAAACAACGCAGTTTGTGAAATTGTGTTTCTTCAACATTAGAGTCACTGATGCTGACAATTTTGAGCACATTAGTGTTGGAAACGTAGCTGGCATCTGGTCCACTGACCTTAAAAATGCAGATTGGAATTACAACTTTTTGCTTAATGGAAATGCAGAAATTTCAATAAATGGCTTTTGTGCAGGGAGGAGGTGGTTTTTTGGCTGTTTTTCTGTATAAATTGAGATTTTTCAACATTAGTGGAACATCAACACTTGCTAACAGCTAGTCGGGGTTTTCATGACAACATAAACTGACTTATTCACTCATTCACACATGCATTTGCTCATGCAGTGGGTGGGTTGTGTCATGACATGCTGTGAAGAGGCAGAAACAAACGTCTCAGCATTTTCCAATGATGCAAACCATGCAGAATCCAAGTCTCTCATTCTGCTGTAGCACCTGAAACTGGCAGAAGTTTCCCCGACCCGAGTGACAGAGAATGCTGGTTGGCTTGTTTGGATCATGCCGTCACAGACACAACAACGCTAGAGAAAACGCTGGAGACCGACGGATGCTGACAATTATGAATGAACATGTAGAGGAGTACGCGTTCTGCAAAGCAATGTTTCTGTCTGAATTTCATGACGGTCTTACAGTCTAAAGAAAACCAATTTCTAAAATACTGGAAAGTAGTTTAGCAAAACAAAAAAAACCTAAAAGAAATAGACGTATCTGACTAAAGATGCAGCTAAACGTTTAAATAACATCTTTAATATTGATAGAAATATTGCATTTGCATGAAGCGCTCCTGCAGTTAGTTTTTTTTGTTGTTTTTTTTCACGAATGGATTCATTGAAGATGGATGAAGTCCACGGCTTAACGGATCTCAAATCTTCTACCTAATTTTGCCCAGCTGGCCCTTGGCTCTGGACAAAGGCTGCAGCGCGAAGTCGTCACCTATGACCACTCGGTTGGAATACATCTACACCGGGAGAGCAAACACAGGGGCAAGATGAAGAACACACAGACAGAGAGGTTAGAAATCCAGTTCTCTCACACATACACACACACACACACACCACAGTCATGTTCAGACTGAAGCAGCAGACGCTACAGACGGCACACAGGACTGGAGGAGTTGGCTCATTTTCTGTTCTGAGAAACAAGCCGAGACAATAAATCATCTCCAGATGGACGAATCGATACGGAAAGAGAGCAGAGGTGACGCTGTGCACTTCTCAGTCTGTGATCAGACGCCAGTCATGCAGAGCAAACATAAGCATGATAATATTCCTGTTTGGAAGCAGAACAAAGGCTACAAACAAACTAACACACAGATCACTTTACAGGCCGTCTACATTTTGGATTTCTTCTAAATAAACTTCATTTTTAAGACTTATCGTATAATCGTTGCCAATTTTTGGCTCTATGTAGGAATATATGTATTGCTGCATAGGTGGGCAATTATCGCAATGTTTATCACTTTTTGTGAAAAGGTTCTTAGAAGAATTTGATTTATTGTTTTGAAAAATGTCTTTAAAAGGCTCAAAAATGGCAGCCATCTTGAACTGGCTGATGGGAAATATGAAAAGCATAACAAGCTTTTATGCCCGTTTCCACATCTGAAAGATTTCATAGAGAGATTATAGCACAGAAACAAGCTGCACTAATATATCGATATATGTTAACAGAAGACATTTTAAAGAAAACAAAGCGTCTTTTTTCATTTAAATTCGTTCAAACCTTTTAGAAAACATCCTGTAAAACTTTTTCATTTGTAATCAGCAGCAAAATAAAAATGGTGCAGCTGGTTTACATGTAAAAACAAAATGCATAAATCATTTAGTAACATTTAGGAAAAATAAAAGAATTTAAGAAAGTAAAACATTGAGCTTGACAACAGCAAAGCGAACTGGTTTCCTGCACGAAGCATCTGGCTGCTGGTAGTTACCTGGCTCTTCTGTGTGCTGGTGGGACACAGGTGTCTGTAGAGGACCTTCTTCATCACTTCAGGAAACAGGCAGGTGATGACGATGATGACGATGGCGAACCAGGCCGAGCCGCAGGACAGCAGCTGGACGAAGACGAAGTACATGTCCTGGGTGTGCAAGAACGGCCTGCAGGGGTTCAAACGACACAGATGTTAAACTGGAGTCACTTTTATGTGTTTAGCAGTAAAACTTCATTCAGTCCATCCGGGAAGTGGGGATACCAACTATTTATGCAAATTCACTCATCATTTGCAGATTCTGTGCAAACTTAAAGTCACCGGTCATTGCAACCTTTCTACAAATCTGACCTATCACCTCAATGTATTTCCTTATTTTCTGACCAATCACTGAAACTGGACTGAGTTTCGACCAATCCCATTTGATCCCTTCTAACATAACTTCCTGTTTCAGGACTAAAGACCAAACCTGCAAGACGTGACGCTAAACGCCAACATTTACCATTTTTTGTTGTTAAAACCATTTTGAATCTGTTATGAGGGATTTGTTTTTATATATATATATATATATATATATATATACACAATTTAATAGTCAATATAGTATCTAGTTCATTTAAATTACAGTATATGAACAATTATTATTATTAAACAACAAATAAAAAGAATCATTTACTCTGTAAACAAAATTATCCTTCATAAAAAGGTTTTGTTGAGACTGCAGACTTTCATCACTCAGTTTTTGGTAGAAAAAGAGAAAAGAAAAACCATAAATCAGGCAAATGGAAATTACTGAGCTTGCTTTAATTTATGATGTGATTATTTTATTTATTGCTTACTGTAACAATAATTATATGCTTGTACGATAATTTGAACAGTTTTATGTTTGGGCGTCGTCTCAGTTCAATATTCAAATTATTCCACATTTTGATTCCACTTACTGACCTGCAGCAGTTTAGTCTGGCATTTCTGAATTTGCATATTTTAAACTCTGATCCCCCCTTTACTTAATTTCACTCAAACTATTTCTGAATGTTAATTCTTTTTGTTTTTGAAAAGACTTAATTTTGACTGTTGGTTTTTTTATTTTTGGCCACAGTAATTATAAAAAAGCAGCATAACGTCCTGGAGGGGCTGACTGATTGCAGATCGGCAGATGGACTCGGAAGGATTTGCCCTTTTCACGGTAATTTCAGGTCCAACATCAGTTCGAGTCGTGCACTTAGGTAATGTTATTATGTCCTTAACGACCAATACAGATTTTATCAATAATGGCCCAATATGGTCACAATGGCTCCCAGACGTCTGATTGGTCCAGACCAGTTTAAACTGGTTTTATTGGTTCAACCATGTGGCAGATAATTAACCAGGACTAAATCTGAGCTTCCCAGACACTGGTGGGAAAATAAACAAAAAGTTTTCTTTACTACGGCACAAAGAAAGATAAAATTTACTGTTAAAAAGTCGGTCAGAGGAAAAATGATGCCAAATAATTTTTAATTACTTTATAAAAGTCATTAAATTCCCTCCCAGTTGAAAACAAAGAAGAAGAAAAAAAAGATCTGGACTAAATGGCCGAGTCTGTAAAACCAATTAGATTAGATTTCATTTGGTTGTATTTGTGAATTATGTAATTCTGCTCTGTTTTTTGTTTTATGTGATGTTTTTGTTGAGGTGCTAAACCCCAAAAACAGACTTTCCGCTTCCACTCTGAACTTTGACCTTGAATGGCTGTGGCTTTAATAAATGTGACAGAAATAAAAAATAATTTGAAGGAATATTAAAACACTTGTCTGAGATTATTTTCCTGAGCTGATCAGACCAACTCCACCTTTTAAAATCAAAAAGATTTCAAAACTTAACAATAAATATGAGCCATTTTTAAGAACATTCTCACCAGATGATGCCTCCGTAGAAGAGAGAGAAGATGAAATAGAAAGCGATTGAGCCCCACGTCACAAAATGGTTCATCCAGGTCCAGAACTGAGTCTCCAACGCGAGCTGGGAAATAAAAGTCACGTTAAGAGATTGATGCAGGAGCGTTGGGGGCAATCTGCTTCTGTGCTGCGAAAGAGGCCTTGCTCCCCAACAACCCATTACAAATTATCTGCTGGAGTTAATGGCCGCTGACATCATCCTCCTCTCCACATGCTTTATCTCAAATAACCCGTCTGACTCCACACGTTACTAAGCTAAGAGACGGCAACAATAATTCAGACCAAAGTAAACAAACTGCAGGTGTAAAAACTACTGGTTATTAATTCACACTGTTGACTGCTTTGCGTTTACCTTCAGCGTGACGGTGATGACCATGACAGTAAAGACGAGCGTCCCAAATGTCCAGTTCCCAAACATCTGCAAGAAGCGACAGGTTGCAATGTCAGCAGTCAGCTTCAGTTTGTCTTCAGCTGAAAAAACTTCGTGATCAGAAAGAAACAGAAGCTCAGCTCACATGCACGTCTCTGTTAGTGTTGGAATATCTTCTGTTTACTCGGATCACAGACGGTAAAAATCTCAGGTGCAGTTAATTTAACTTAAAGTACTATTTTAGAAAAATTAAAATAAAAACGTGTGGTGTGGTGACAGGGAGGAAAATGTGAGCGGATCCACTGCTTAGATTTGGAGATTTAGAAGAAACATAAATCTTCTCAAAAGCTTAAAAGATTTCAGTCCAAAATTCAGTTTATGCTTTTTGTGCCATAAATTTCAGCTTAAGCAGCCAAAGACAGTTAATGTTCTGCAAAAGGTTTTTCTCAGTTACAAAAATTATTTTTAGGAGAGCACAGATTAATCAGAATCGGCCGATATTTACACGAGAAATCAATCCAATTCACTGATCTTATCTTCCTCCTCAAAGTCTGAAAATCAGCCGCTGTCTGATAATCATAGTTTCTGTTTTAGTGACTGTCAGACCACAAAAAAAAAAACAAAAAAAAAATCATCGTTAGCTGAAATTGGAATCGGCAGATCAGACTTTTTAAAAACTCCTGATTGGCCAGCAAACTGCAATCGGTGCACTCCGATCGTTTTTTATGAGGTTAAAGTTATGGCTTATTTTTATTTAAAGTGCACTGATCAAAAATCAGTTTTAAGAAATGATGCATGCACTTAACTTGTGTTGCTTGTAATTAACATGTTAAACTATCCATACTCCTTGAACCTTTTAATTGTTTGTCAAACTACAAACAAACTACATGGTATTTTATAGGGACTTTATGTGTAAAACCAAAACAAAGTACCATATAAATGTCAAGATTACAGGCCTTGGTGTGTCACTTAATCTCAGTAAAAATGACGAAGGTGACCTATTATGCTTCCTTGAACATGTTAGAAAAGGTTTACGCCCTTCAAAACATGTTATTACATCGTTTTGCAGACAATCATTCTTCAATAATTAAATTTTAGTCGCTTTAGGGCGTCTTGTTAAGCTGCTGCTAGCCACGCCCCCCAACTCAATGTTTACACTCGCATGAAAATGGCCGCAACAGATGCACAATTATGCAACCATACATCTTAGACAAGCAGAAGTAGGGCCTCCTACACAACCAACAAGAATGAAGCAAGGGGTTTCTGGATGGTAAGTAACAACAAAACGCTCGTCTTTCCCAGCAGCCATTGTACAGAGCATACGGTGGTAATACCGGCTGATCAAACTGCTCGGGTTGCTAGGTAACGGGCTAGGCTCCACTCGGGTTGCTAGGCAATGGGCTAGGCTCCACTCGGGTTGCTAGGTAACGGGCTAGGTTCCGCTCGGGTTGCTAGGTAACGGGCTAGGTTCCGCTTGGGTTGCTAGGCAACGGTGCAGTTACCTAGCTTCCAGATACCAAAAAACAATTAATTATTCTGAAGAAAAAAGAAAAACTTTTTTTAAGTGCTTGGGTTAATATCCAAATGGAAATATAGAAATAGGTAAAAAATGAGTTTTGCATAATAGGTCTCCTTTACAATATTTGCAGATGTAAAATCTTAAATTTTTTTCCACTTCAGAAACATGCGCTACTTTGTGTTGGTCGATCACAAAAATTTGAAGTCAATAAATTGAAGCTTGCAAATGTAATGTAGCAGAATTTGCACATAATTAATAAGAAATTGAGTACTTTAGCACAGAAATGCAACTGAATCCATATTGAAGAGAATTATTGACAACATTTAAAGAGTAAACGGGATGATGATGAATCCTCGAGTCCTCCTATTAACCTCCCAAGGACATGCATTCAACTGTAGAGCAGACTCTTACCAGCTGCCTGTTAGCTCGCAACATCTGAAGACATGCACAGCAAGAAGGCAGAAGGAAAAAAGCGTAATCAACAAAAGATGGAAGGAGAGACAACCAACAGGGAATAATCAAAGTGAGGGCATTCAGAAACAGCAAACTACCAACTGAAAGAAAGATGGAGAGAAATGACGCGGGGAAAAAAAGAGAGAATGAACAAACTGTCGAATAAAAAAGGGAAGAAATACAGAGATAGAAAACGGCAACATCAAGTCAACAGTTATGAAATAGCAGCAGGTTATTTCTACATCCAATAATAACAATATTAATAATAATAACAGCAGCAGTGAAAGCACACAAACACAAATATCTGAGCTGAATTTAATCACCAAGGATTTATGGCTTGAACTACTGTTTTCCAGCTTATAGAAGCAGTGGAGCGCGTTGCTGGCAGACAGACCTGTCCGTTGCTCATGAGTGAGGTGTCCTCCCCCATCAGCAGGTAGGAGCCGAAGAAAAACACAAAGGCGTGAGTGAAGCCCAACACCGTCCAGTACAGGAACGTCCGGAACGACAGCAGAGAGTTCTTGCTGATGTCTCTGTGGGAGACGCACAAATACCAAGTTTATTCCCCATCGAGCTTCATGTGCACTGCAAAACGGAAACTCTCACCAAGTATTTTTGTAGTTTCTAGTGAAAATATCTTGGTACAGTAAACTAACTTACAAGTAACTTTCTAGCAAGATACAGGAGTTTGTTTTAATTCAATAATTCCTTAATTTTGGTGTAAAAATACTAGCTCCACTGGCAGATTATTTCACTTATGACATGAAATTTTCCCAATGTCATAAGTGAAACTTTTTGATCAATATTAAAGAATCATTGACTCAAAACAAACTCCTAAATCTTGATGCAAATTTACTTGTAAGTTAGTTTTGTTTTATTTTCAGCGTACTAAGATATTTCCACTAGAAACTGAATTGGGTTGGGGCTCTTTAACAGCAAAAACACAAAATCTTACCCAGTCCGGTCTAGTTTCTAGTGCAAATATCTTAGTACACTTAGGAGAAATTTAACTTACAAGTAACTGCTCAGAAAGATGAAGCAGCTAGTTTTAGGTCAATAATAATTTAATATTCGTACTGGTTCCACTGGCAGTACGAGTACCTAGCGCCGTTACCTAGCAACCACAGTCAAGCCCAGCCCGTCTCCTAGCAACCGAGTTCTAGTTCCGCTGGCACACTGTTTCACTTGACAAAACATTTTTCCTGATATAAGTGAAACTTTTTCATCAATATGAAGAAACTGACTTAAAACAAACTATTATGTCTTGCTGAAAAGTTACTATCGAGTTAGTTTTGTCTTATTTCAAGTGTACTAAGATATTTGCACTAGAAACTAGACCAAAAATACTTTGTAACATTTCTGTTTTTGCAGTGCATCTCCCATTTGACTTTGTTTAAATGACATTTTGGAGTTTACTGTTTTTAAAACAGTTGCTGGTGAGTAATAGTCGGTGTTGCATAGACACAGGGCCTCACCTGTAGAGGCTGGGTTTAGCCTGCAGGATGTCGGGGTGGACCAGCTGCTCAAACAGACTGTACACCAGGATGGGCAGCGAGGTGAAGCAGATGTTGTACAGCGTCAGGTAAACACTGTCATACAGAGTCTGGAGGGGACAGAGATCATTTCAACAGCAGATTATTAGACAAACAGGGAGACTAACTGCACACACACACTGTTTGGGTGAATGGGAAAAGAACTGAAGCTAATAAAAACAAACATTTATAAAGGTGTATGCATCTCCTAAAGAAAGGTGGCACATTATAATGTGATCATTGGATCTGGTGGACTCGGTTCGATTTCACTCTGCAGTCAAACAAAATAAACTTGCAAAACCTGTTCCTCCCCTCGCCTGTGGGGGCGCTGCACAAAAAACACTGAAAGAAAAGATACGGAATCCTCTGAAGAAGACACTGAGCGCAACATCCTTCTTCACAAAATACAACAAAACTTTAGTGACAGAGCTCAGCGATTGTAGGATTTCTTCCACTAACGTTAGACTCACATGTTTGTTTTGGTTGAATTTACCCAGAATGCATCAGAATTGGTGTTCACATATGTAGGTCTGTCACAATAATTTTGCTGGATGATAAACTGTCCCAGACATTTTCAAGATAAACAAAAATATTGTCATTTTGAGACCATTTTCAACTAATCAATAAATAATAATGGCTGATTAATAAAATGTATCCAAGTATACCCACTCAAAAATAAAAAAAAACTTTAATTTCTAAATAATATTTGAAGTGGAAATTATTTTAAATATCCAAAATAATAATAAATAAAATGGATTATGAACTCTCTGTAGCCAAAATAGCATTTAAAAAAATAATGATCATTCTGCTTCGACCAGGAAAACAGGCAAAAGTGGCAGGTAACGCAAACCAACTACTTCAAAATGGCGGCTTTCAAAAATAAATGGGAGCATCGCTTTACTAAAAAAAATATCGAGCTCATTTTAATTAATCATGGGATTAATTGATTTATTGTGACACGTATGAATTCGAACCGCGTCACATTTCACTTCAACCGAACCGAGGTTTGTAGGCGGACCAGAGTTTGTTTCTTTTTTGGTTTGCATCAAAGTTCGACTCAGGCTTCCTCAAACAAACTGGACTTTTAGACAAAACAACTAAAGTTTGATTAAGGCAAACTTAACAGGGCTGGTGTGAATGGAGCCTTACGCACTTTAAAAATCAGGAAAAATAAACTAGATGTCAAAGGGAATATAGTTAGAAACAGAACTAAGACTTACTTGTTGTGAAAACAAGCAGAAGAACTGGTATAAAAACTGTGGCGTAATAAAACACACATTCTAGAAAAAACAGAGTGAAAAAACATTCAGTCATACTAGAGAGAGAACAGATTATTATGCATTTTTTAAATTCAAAGCCACTAAAATGAAAGCACAGTGTTGGTAAATCCTACCTTGTAGAAAAAGTACTGTACAAGAGTAGCTATTCGAATGTAGTAGAAGTGACCGTGGACCAGCAGGAGTTTGGCCAGGAACTTAAACCTGGCGATTGCATAGTCACTGTTTCTCACGGCCTGACGACCCTCCTTTCCCATGATGCCTGGGGGTTCGGGCAGGAACAGCTCAGACATGTACAGCACAGCTCCAGGTCGGGTTTCTGGGTTACATGTGTGTGTTTACCTATGCCTACGTGGGCTTCCTGTATCATACTGACATCATTGGCTCCGTCCCCAACAGCTAATGTTATCGGCTTTTCTGGAGAAGTCTTTAGCAGACGAACAACCTGAAAAATTTTTTTAAAAAAATTAGCCTAACCCTTATATTTTGAATTCAAAGTTCAAATAAATAGAAGCTGTAAGACAAGATGGCCGCCCTGACATCATTCTGAATTATGGCAAACCAAGGGATAAACTGGTGAAAAGAAAATCCTTATTTAATAAAAATTTAATTCTATTAAAATCAATTTATCATCCAGTCGTATTTTCTACATTAGTTAAACTTTACATAAAACTAAGTTAACACAGCAGCTCTTGTTTTACAGTGTTGCTGTTTGAGATTGGAACAAGTTTCAGCAACAAGTGGCTCCAGAAAACGAGATTCACTAATTTAACCCTTTGAGTCAGAGAGACTAACGTGTGACTTAGACACCATAATTCCTGATCTGCAGTTAATCTGGATTTTTCTTCCTGCAGCTGGGGCGGTGTGTGTTCACCTTGGCTTTTTGCAGCGGGGCCATGCGGCAGCAGAGCACAGCTGAGCAGTTTTTACACACTTCCATGAACAGCTTCTCATGTTCCCTCAATGCCAACGACAGACTGGCGCCGTCGACCACCAAGCCGTGCTGGATGACGTGGTCTTCCTTTATCCTGCAGGCGAAGACGAGGAAGACAACGGCACAGGAAGTGAGACAGGAACATCGATACGCTGGATTCTACTGATCACTTATCAGAAAATAATATTTTAAAACCAGATTGTTGTTCCTGTTCATCACCAAGTTGGAACTGTAGAAATGTTGTACATAAGTAATATTGGGTGTTGATATTAGGGCTGGGCGATCTGGCTTAAGAATAAAATCTGTTTTTCCATTCTTAATACAATTTTAATTTTTTTTTTCAATCATCCTTTTAGGACAACAAGAATTTTTGTTTAATTAATTAGAATAAATTCATAAAATTAGCAGAAATGTGATAAAAGTTGTTTTAATGCGATAAAAGCTTAGACTCATCAGGATCTGACGTCATCAGTTCTCAAAATAGACTATTTTGTTTATTTTAAAGTCCTGCGACTGATAATTTGCTGCTGACGTGTTAAAAGTCTAAACATTTTTCTATGAAGTATTCCTCATTTTTATTTTTTTTGTGTTCCAGTTCTTATGAAATTACAACTTTATTGCAGTAATTTTGACTTTATTCTTATTTTACTATGACTGTATTTTTGTGACTTTGTCCCTGTAAAAATGTTAGCCTGGCCCAAGGACTCCATCAAAGAGCTGATATGAATTCAACACTTTGAAAAATATAAGCGGTAAAACAAAGAAAGATGGCCGCCTAGCATCACTCTGAACTACAAAACCCTTGGAGCGCATCGGTGAAAAAATAAACAAGATTTTCAGAACATTAAACCTTCAAAAACCAAAAATTCAATTAATGGATCCCATTGATTTATCGCCCAGCTCTAATTGAAATTATCAGAAATAAAGCATATTTAGTTACAACTTATTTTGTTGAATAAAATCACCAACAGCAGCCATGAAATTAGGATTGTCATTATAAAATAAGTCATGTAATCTCCTTCAAAGCTCATTAAACACATAAAAACCTGCCTGTATTGATGATTTATTAAAATAATAAATAATAATAACAGCAGAAGGAAACGGCAGGCACCTTCGGGCCAGCCTGCGGAGCTGCTCTGCACACTCGTTGTCGGAGCGCTGCTGCAGAAGCTCCAGGATGTTCATGGTTCGGTGGAAATGGCCGCACGACAAGCTGACGCTGACCGCCGTCTCGTGTTTGTCCCCTGTCAGCACCCATATTTTGATTCCCGCCCGACGCAGGACTTCGATCGTCTCGGGAACTTTATCTTGAAGCCTGAGCAGCAGCAGGAGAAGGAGAACGTGTTCAGCGTTCGTCACGCAGGGACATTTTCCAAACATGTTTTTCCAGTTTTCAAACTGTTCCAGCAACACACTTTGGGGATTAAAAACAAAACAAATGAACTAAAGAACAGTTTCAGTTCACAACAATATATAATTTATTACTGTGATAATACTTTGCATCCTACAGCAGGGACAACATAGACTAAAACATTAGAATTTTATGGTTTGAAATGTTTTTCTTACACACGTCACACACCTGATTGTTACAAGTACAACTAACAAGTAACATTTCAGCAGGTTGTAGGAAATTAAATCATGCAAATGGAAATTATTGCGCTCGTTTTAATTTGTCATGTGATGAATTGATTTACTGCATCAGGCCCAATTACAAGTAGCTTCTCAGCAATAAACAGAAGCTTGTTCTCCGTAAATAATCGCTCAACAATAATGGAAAGGTTCTGGTCCCACTGGCACTTTCTTCACTTAAGACAAGACGTTTCAAGAACTTTCCAGGATTTCAAGCCGCGTGTGAACCCTGTGCATAATGCCTGGAAAAGGCCGAGTTACGCTCATTTCCCCTGCAACTCACTAATGTTCCTTGAGACAATAAGGACACTTTCTATTTCAAAAGAAACTTTTCATATCAGCGGCTGTTTTTATTTTTCATATTAGCCTGAAAACTGAAGGGAACATCAGTCATGGCTTTCATAACACAAGAGCCTTTGATCGTGACCGAGAGTGACCGGGGGGAGAGACAGAGATAAACAAAGTGTGAGGAGCCGAGGCTTAGGAGCAGATGGTGAGTGGACACACACGCTCACACACACACACACACACGCTCACACACACGCTCACACACAGGCTCACACACGCTCACACACACGCTCACACACACGCTCACACACACACACACACACGCTCACACACACACGCTCACACACACGCTCACACACACGCTCACACACACACACACACGCTCACACACACACACACACACGCTCACATACACGCTCACACACACACACACAAGCGGTGTGACAGACTCTCAGTTGTGACTAGAAACTGTATAATAGATGTTGATATGTTGGCTTCAATCAAGCGTCTGGAGTTTCTGGTTGAATCAAACCAGGCTTCATAGTGGAAACACACCGACCTGATTGGTTTGGCCTCATAACTTTTCCTAATTACATTAAGTGAGGTTAAAGTGCAGCCAGGCCAACTGGGATCACTGGGAGGGTTTTATGGGATCAGAGGTCGGCTGAAACGGGAAAACTCTGACTTATAATAAGAGAAACCGAAACTTAAGAGCAAACTTACTAAAATTTGTTCAGTCTGGTGTTGAAATGTTCAAGAAAATATAAGTTCAAGTCCTGACCTCTGGCTGATTAACTGGCATATTTCCAATCAAACTGCCATGATCAGCTTTAATAAAACGTAATAAACTCGATCCTTTTCACTTCTGTGAGATGGGATGTTAATGTTCACTGTAAAAATGTTTGCTGCAGCAGCAGCAACATTGTTGTGAATCGAGTTGAAAATCTCCGTACTTGTCTTCGACGCCGGTCGCTCCCAGGAGGTGCAGATTGTTTTCGATGTGGGCGAAAGCTTGCTGCAGTTTCTCCTCGCGCCGCTGCAGAGCCGTGCGAGCCGACATCAGCCGCTTGTCCACGTCGATGTACTCCTTCGGACTGAAGTGGCGGCATGCGACAACGAGGGTACGCAAACCTTTCTGCATCCGAACAGAGAGACGAATAAAAACAGGTTAGATGGAGGACAAAGGCAAGTGTTCACTTTTAAACATGAATTAAGACGAGTGGTGCATCGACTGCAGTTTTCACCGATCACCAATAACCGGTCTATCAAAAATCCTGACCTGCCGATTCCGATTTCGGCCAATAGCAATTTTTTTTTTTTACTAAAATGTTGCTAAATGTAGCAAGAAAGTTGCCAACAGTGAGATGACTATTGTTCACTGCAAACATGTAGACCTGACCTGGTGGGCCAGTCTGCTAGTCAAACCTCTTTCACAGCAGCGCAGAGGAAGACAACAGTTCATTTAAACAGCGATGCCAAGGTAGATGAAATCGGTGGTTAAGATCAGCTTCACGTGTAAAAATCGGCCAATCACGATTTCCCAAATTTAGATAAATTGGCACCAATAAATCGGTGCATTCCTATTGAAGACGATAAGGTGTCTCCATGTCAAAGGGCAAAACTAAAGCGAAGCAGATGCGAATGAGACGAGATTCATAACGGAGGAGAAAAGAAGAGAAAAAATCTCAAATTATCACAGCTTGGGTTTAATTCAGCGAAGCGGCCTGAAGGCTTGATGACCAGAACCCAACCCAAACTGCAGCGCCGAATCTGGGGGCTGACGTCTGATGATATGATGTGGAAGACAGACAGGCGTGTGTGTGTGTGTGTGTGTGTGTATGTGTGCGTATAAAAAGCACCAGAGCATAAATTAATGACTGTATCATCTCTAAATGCCAGGCTTACACACAGAAACAACAGAGGCACCACTCAACAGTCAAATTTATTCACGTTCAAGTTTAAAGGTTTTAAAAATTCAGAAATAAAAATCTTAAGTGTGATTTTGAAACATCTACTTTCATAAAGCATAATAAAGTGAGTGGATCATTTTTACACTCCGTTGCTCATGTAGGAATGAAACGATAAATCAGATTAATCATGTTGAATTGATTGAATTTAGTAAGTGATTAATTGTTAATTGGAGACTTGAAAAAAGGCCAGAAAGAATAAGCTCAGAGCAATAATTAAGACAAAAAGAAACAAAAAACAGACATTTTGCATGCAAGATTAAAAAAAAACACTTTGTAAACATGTTCTATCAAAAACTTCACTCTGTTCAAATTGTGTAAAAAAATAAATTCCTGTTAATCACCACTAATCAAAATAATAAACTAACAGATTATTAGATCAATCAATACACTGCATTGTTAAATGAAGCAGAAAGAGCTTTTCACATGTTGATGTTAAAATTATTTTTAGCTGCAGATGCAGCCTTTGCATTTTCTTAGTGCATTTTAAACAATAAAATTTTTATTTTCTCATTTAAAAAAGGAACTGAGCTGTTTAATTAAATATTTTAATGTTTTTCTAATGTTGTATAAAAAAGCCTCAAGTGAAAATCTGCATAATCTGCCTTTTGTTTTTATCCGATTAATCAATTAATCGTTAGTTTTACTAATATAAACATGTCAGCTGCATGAGAAAGATGATTTCTCACCAAAGCAAACTCGTCCACATGCAGCCTGGTTTTCTCAATCTCTCCAGTGGTGGTGAAAGGCAAGACGGCCGACTCAGCACCCTTTGTGAAAAGCATTTTCCCTCCTTGAAGGGGAAAAAACACAAACATATTAATAAAGGCGTCGCCCTGCCTTGTCCGTTATTTTCCTGTGGCTGAAGCAGGTCAGCGTTACCTGAGGGAGTCTCCAGGATGACGCTCATCCTCCTGCGGTTTGGATCGAACTCCAACACATGGAGCAGTTTGTACCTGAGGCAAAGAAACGGGATGTTACCGACGATATCTGACCAAAAACAGCAAATAATAATCAATTATTCTGACGATTAATTGATTAATCGGATACATAAAAAAGTCACATGCTGCAAATTTTTCATTTAACCACTTAAATATTAGAAATGCATAAAAAATGGAAACAAAAAACATATTATTGCCTAAAATCCAATAAAAAGTGATTCCTTTAGGTTTCTTTCACAGAATTTAAAATGAGTGAAGCTAAAACTGCAACTTAAGGACATCTGGGTCCAACATATTCAACGACAAATGTTTCTATTGCATCTACAACACTAGATATATGTGTCTCTGTGCAGTTTTGGCTTAATTACTGCTCTCATGTTATGACCTGTTTTTGAGTCTATTCTCCAGTTAACGATTAATCAATTAATAAATTAGTTGATGATCAGTTTCAGACCTACAATATACAAAAATGAAAATCCTAAAAACTGTAAATTTAGATCAGATCTAAATTTAAAACTGAAGATATCGATCCTATGCTGATTGATCTGTATGATTTCATTGACTTTTTTCCGTGAGACGGCCTGCGCCGTGAATTGGTGCGATACGATTAAACCGAATCGATCCGTTTTGATCCGCTGTGTGTTTGAGACGTTGGCTTACTTTTCAGTTTTCCCAAATGTATTTATTTCCATGGTGTCCCCGCTGCAGCCTGTGAACGCCACGCCAATTCTGGAAAGAAGGCAGTAAAACTTAATCCAAGACTCATTAACAGACAAACGTTTGAAAAATCCCAATCAGGAGGAACAATGCCGCAGGTTGCCACGATTGTCCCAAATAAATGTCCGCAATTTAAAATGTCAGTAAATTAATTATAAAATTATTCCATGCCTGCTTTCATGCGACTGGAAGCAGTTTAAAGGTTTTGAAGTGGCCTAGCCCAAGTCCTGAAATGTAAAAATTAGGGTGATGACAAAGAGGCTTTGAGTTTTGATTCCTGTAGAACCAATAAATACTTTTCCATTTATGATTAAGAAGGATAAGAATAACTTTATGCAATATTTACATAAAGCATGAGTAAAAAACAAATATTCCTTCAAAATGTTTGTATTTTTTGTCTCATTCCATATTTTTATTTGGTTAAATGAAAACAAATTTAAACCTAAAAGCTCCTGGCGTTTGAATACTTCTGGACCTTTAATGTTTATCTTGGTAAAGACAGTCTGACATTGTTCTGAAAGATTTCCTTCCTATTTTTGTGAAACTACAACTGGGTCTGTTTGTAGCTCAAATATTTTGGGTACTTTAAACATGGTGGCACCTTCTGAAAAAGGGTTATTTATGAACACGTTTCCGCCGTCGGCTGCACGAGTCTCCAGACTCTCCAACAAATTACTGCCTGCATTAAGTTTCTGTGGCACCAATATGATCAAGTGACTGAACACCAGGCTGCGATAAAAACTCCAGCCTCTGCTTGCATCTGACAGATTTAAAAAATGGCAGCCATAAGATGAAGTTTGGCTTCGTGTCAAAGGTCAAGAGTCGCCTAATATTTCATTTTAGGCAGTTAAAGACGCCGTGCGTCTGACTGGTTTCGTCTACATCATCAACCTGAGCAGCATAGCTGCCTCAGTTAAAGGCAAGGAAATGAAACTATAATGAAACTAAACATTTTTCAAACGCATTATGGAAACAAAGCCAGGTTATATTTTAAGGTTTCACAGCTTAAAGGAGCAGCAGCACTGTGAATGTTCCAGACACACAACGCAATTTTATAGCACATTCAAGAAACTGTCAGTTTTTGTAGAAATGCTGTAAATATCAAACAGGACTTAAGGGTAACATGTTATCCTTCATCCAACAGGTTAGGATCTGTTTTGGGCTAAACATGCTCATTACATACTTTGCACAAAGTCATTCTTAGATAATGAGGTTTTAGTTTGATCCTTTCAGAATAAAATGTCTTGTTACTTTAAATCCAAATAATTTGCTGCTGACCACGCCCCCCAACTCTACGTTTACACTCACTTCTGAAAATGGCTGCAAACAAATGCAATTATACAGCCGTACATCTTTGAAAAGCAGAAGTGGAGCCTCCTGCACAACCAACAAGAATGCAGCAACTGGTTTTTGGATGGCAAGTCAACAACAAAACTCTTGTTCTATTCCAGCAGCCAAAGGTGGATGGGCTCAGCTTGTGTTGCTAGGTAACGCACTTGGCTTTGCTGGGGTTGCTAGGTAACGGTGAAGTGCTAGTGGAATGTGACTTAATCGAGAGGATTTTGAAACTACTCGTTTTCCGGACACCAAAAAAAAAACATGAATTTATTGCCAGAAAATGTTTAAGTGCTGGGAATGACAAAAACACTTTTTGCCGAAAGCTTGTTCTGCTTTCATGCTAACTTTTACTTTTTCT